CTTCTGTTTTTCCTTTAATTGCTATTTCATCTTCAGGTTCTGAGATTCTGTCTTCTGTTTGTTCTGTTCTGCTAAATGGACTTCCATTTTGTTTTGTATTTCTGTTTCATTCTTTTTTCTGAGGTTTCCCATATCATGGGTTACTTCTTCTTTAATATTGTCAATTTTTGACCTTAATTTTTTTATCTCTCTGTTTATGGTGATCTCTCTTTCAGTTTGGTATTTTTTTAGGGTTCCTATGACTTCATTTATTTGTTTCTGTGTTTTCTCATATTCTTTAATGTTGTTGTCTTGGAATTTCTTGAGTATCTCCTGTATGTTTTGGTTGACCATGTCTAGTAACATCTCTATGAAATTCTCATTAATTACATGTAGGATTTCTTCTTTCAGATGTTCTTGTGGGCTTCATTGGATTCCTTGGTATAGTTTATCTTTGTTTTGTTGGAGTCTGGATCCTGTACTACTTTATTTTTGGGGGAGGACTGGTTTCCGTCCCCTTTTCTTCTTCCCGTATTTCCACTAGGTACCATTTCTATCCCTGGACTATGTGTAATGTAATATTAGCTGGGTAACAATATTAATACTAATAAAATCAAGAGCAAAGGACAAAAAAGAGAAAGTGATGAAAAGACAAAAGGAAAAGAGAAGAGAGAAAAAGAGAAAATAACCCACCATAAACAAAAAATGGGAGAGATGGTAGGTGATCAAACAGCAAACCACACAGCAAATCCTTTAAAGAAGAGACAAAAAAAAGAGAAGACAATCTCCAGTTTTGGAACAGTAGAATTGCAGTCTTAGTTGTTCTGATGTTACTCCTTTAGCATCCAGACCTGCCTGTGTGTCTTTTAGGCAGATTTGGAGCCCTCCTATGGAGGATGGCAGTTGGGTGGGGTCCCATAGGCCTACAGGCAGAGTACTTTTGTTGAGGTGAACTAGTGGGCCTTTGGAGCATAGGCCTGGCATTCCTGAAGGGCACAGGCTGGTGGAGTGGAGATCTTGTGTGTCTGTGGATTGCCAGCTTGGCAGGCTTTAAGGGCACAGTCCCGGCAGAGATCATGCAGGCCCGTGCAGGTGTGAATGATGCAGTCCAGTGGAGATCATGGAGGCCTGTGGAGGCCTGAGGGCATGGCCCAGTGGAGATCATGAATGTCTGTGGACTGCCTGCTTTGCAGGCCTGAGGAGCGTGTGCCAGCAGAGTGGAGGTCATGCAGGCCTGTGCATGCCTGGGGGGCCAGCCTGGTGGAGTGGAGATTGTGCGTGTGTGGATTGCCAGTTTGGCAAGCCTTCAGGGTGTGGCCCAGCAGACAGGAAATCATGCAGGCCTGTGCAGGACTGAGGGACATGGACTGACTGAGGGGATACTGTGCAGGCCTGTGCAGGCCTGGGAGGCATGGCCTGGCAGGGCAGAGATCATGTGTGTGTGGATCCCTTGCTTGGCAGGCCTTAGTGGTGCAGGCTTGTGGAGTGGATATCGTGCAGGCTTGTGCAGGCCAGGGGGGCGCAGCCTAGCAGAACGGAGATCGTGCATGTGTGGATTGCTGGCTTGGCAGGCCTTGGGGACATGGCCCGGCAGAGTGGAGATCATGGAGGCCTATACAGGCTTGAGGGCATGGCCTGGCAGAGACTGTGAATGTCTTTGGATCTCTGGCTTGGCAGGCCTTGAGGGCTGGTCCAGCGGAGATTGTGTGGAACTGAGGGGTGGGAGTTTGGGGTAGCACAGCCCTGGTGGGGCAAAGGAGCAGGGCTGAAGGATCAGAGATCCCACATCATGTGGATCAGCAGCTCTGCGGGCCTATGGGGTGGGGCTTGGCATGCAGCTCTGGCTATTCTTTTAGTATATAGTGGCATGGAGAAGCCCTCCACGAGCTAGGGGTTCAGAGTGCTGATGTTTCAGCTCTCCCTTGTGCTTTACCTCAGTGAAGGGTGTCTCCAGCTCTCAGCAAAGTCCCTGGATCATGGAGTTCAGGAGGTCTGTGGCTGTGTCCTGGTCGCCATTTTGGATCTCTCTTATTATTTTTATGAGGTAACATGACACTTACAAAAGTTCTTACAATGTATCAGATACATATACTTGAATTTATCCCTTCCATCATTCTCCTCTGTCTCCTCCCCCATCCCTGGAATAGTTTCAACAGGACTATTTTTCCATTTACATACATGTGTACATAGAATTTGCACCATATTCTTCATTAAGACTGACTAATATTCCACTGTACACATATATAACATAACTTCTTTATTCATTCATCCATTGTTGGGAAACATTCCATAACTTGACTGTTGTGAATTGAGTCACAACAAACACAAGCATGTAGGTATGCCTATTAGATATTGATTTTTATTCTTTTTGGTATACATCCAGGAGTGATAAAGCAGGGTGATATGGTAGTCCTATTTTTATTTTTTTGAGGAACATCCATACTGATTTGCATAGTGGCTGCACTAACTTATATCCCCATGAACACTGTACATGGGTTCCCTTTTCCTCACAAGATTATTATCACTTGTTGTTTGTTTTCATTCTGATAGCCATGGGGAGAGATGGAATCTCAGTGTGTTTTATGATTTGCATATCCTTGATGGCTAAAGACGTCAAGCATTTTATCATGTATTTTTGGCAGTACTGGGTTATTTGTTCTTTTGAGTTTAATTTTTTTGAACTCTTTGTATATTCTGGATGTTAATCTCCTGTCAGATGAGTATTTGGCAGGTTTTTCACATCCTGTAGACTGTCTTTTCACTCTGTTGATTGCTTCTTTTGCCATGCAGAAGGTTTTTATTTTGATATAATCCCATTTGTAAAGCCTTTCTCTTATTTCCTAATCTAATGGAGTCCTATTAAGAAAGTCATTACCCATGCCTGTATCTTCAACTGTTTCCTCTATGTTTTCTTTGGTAGTTTCAATGTTTAAGGTTTTATCTTAAGGTCTTAGATTTATTTTGTTTTGGTTTTTGCATGGGTGAAAGCAAGGGATGTAGTTCCAATCTTTTACGTGTCTAAATCCAGTTTTCCCAACACTTTGTTAAACAGATTCTCTTTCTTCTAGTGTATATTTTTGTCATTTCTGCCAAGAATGTGATGGAAGTACCTGCTTGTTTTTATTTCTGGATATTTTATTTCATTATATTGGTTTTCATGTCTGTTTTTGTGCCAGCACCATGTTGTTTTTGTTATTTTTACCTCTGCAGTATAGTATGAAGTCAGGTATTGTGATACCTCCAGCATTGCTATTCTTGCTCAAGAGCAATATGGTTCTGTTTCCTACTGAAACTCTATTCCCTTCACCATCACCTCAAAGGGTAGATATTCTCCAGATGCTCCCAGATACTTTCTTGAAGAGGCCAGATATGATGGGGGCCATTTTTCTGCATCTTAATCCTCACTCATGTGTGTTTCTTTACATGCAGAGGAGAAATCAGCAAATTATGACAAAGTTTAACCCTATGTTTATTTGGGAGGTTTGAAAATGGAAATTCATTTTTACATTAGGGGAAAGATAATCTGTTTTGGCCAAATCTTACACAAGTACCCTAGTTAGGGCTAGATGATGGGAAGGGCACAATGTCAACAAGCCTCACAGAACTGCAATGGTGGTGTTAGCGTGTGTGCACTTGTAGTCTTCTCAGAGCTGTGGTGCCTTGACTTGTATACTGCCAGGTGATTCTGCTAATACAGAAGGGGAACTCAACCATCAGTGGAGTAAATAGGACATCCAATTTCAGGATGTCTTTGCAACAGAGTTAATAAAACACAATCGGTACATAGTATGAATGAGAGCCTGCCTGTGTTTTGCATTGTCAACACCAGTTGAGGCCACCTCATTTTTCAGCATCTTCTGATACTGTCTTTTATCACTCTTCTTCTTCCTCGCTATCTCCTCTCCTCACACTGGGTCCTTGATGACTGTGAACATCTGAAAGACAACCATCTGGGTCTCTAAATATCCTTAATGTCTCTTTTCAAGTTTTGCTTTCTCTATGGATGTGGCCTGGACACCCAAAAAAACTAGCATCCCTGGTGATGGGTAGGGGATATAAGTCATTGGAAGTATGAGTGAGAACCAACACACACACACACACACACACACACACACACACACACACACACAGAGAGAGAGAGAGAGAGAGAGAGAGAGAGAGAGAGAGAGAGAGAGAGAGAATAATTATTCTTTTTCTCACTCTTTTCATTGTATCCATTTTCCTTCTTTTTTTGGAGGACTGGGGTTTCAACTCAAGGCTCAGTTGCTCCATTTCTTGTGCCACCCTTCCAGTCCATCTTGCTCTGGTTATTTTAGAGATGGGGTTCTTGAGAAGCATTTGCCTGGGCTGGCCTCAAACCATGATCCTTCTAATTTCAGCCTCCCAACTAGCTAGGATTACAGATGTGAGCTACTATGCCTGACGATTTCCTTTTTCTTCATGGCCTCTTTACTAGTTGGCAAGATGTATGATTATTTCTTTAAAATGGCTTTACTGAGGTATAATCAATAGTCAAAGGGCCAGATGTATGTAATGTATTCAATCTGGTGAGTTTTTGTATGTGGATATATGTGATATTATTATCACAAAAAGATAATAGATACATGATTTTGCTATATGCATCTATTTGTTTGTCCATCAATATAAGGTAGGAACTTTAATTTGTCATTGCCTAGACAGTCCCTGGAACACGGTCTACACTCAATATATTCTTCAACAGTGAAAAATAATTTCTCATTAAACTGTAGGCTATATGAGAAGTCTCAGAGTGGATAGGAAATACTAGTCAGTAAAGGGAAAAAATAAAGTTCATAGGATCTCTGGAGATCCTATGTTTGGAAGGAAAAAAAAAGTAATGAGACTATGGATGCCCTAAGAAGACCAGATCAATTAATAAAATGTAGAAATTAATTTTTCTGGAATATATGAATTGTAATATTTTAGAACTCTTAATGTCCATTGGTGTAACTAATAGTCATGTTGTTTTCTTCATTCCTGGTAGAGAAATTCCCTACATAAAGTCAAGAAACAATACAAGAATTTCAGAATTTCTTCTTCTGGGGGTTTCAGAGGACCCAAATCTGCAACCTCTCATATTTAGGCTTTTCCTGTCCATGTACCTGGTCACTGTGCTTGGGAACCTGCTCATTATCCTGGCCATCATCTCAGACTCCCGCTTGTACCTGCCCATGTACTTTTTCCTCTCCAACCTTTCCTTTGTGGACATCTGTGTAACTTCCACCACTGTCCCAAAGATGCTGGTCAACATCCAGACACAGAGCAAAGCCATTAGCTATTCAGGTTGCATCAACCAGATGTTCCTTTTCTTGATTTTTGTAGAGTTGGACAACTTCCTCTTGGCTGTGATGGCCTATGACCGATATGTGGCCATCTGTCACCCCCTGCACTACACATTTATCATGAACAATCAGCTCTGTGTGTTGTTGGTTCTGGTGTCCTGGATCATGAGTGTACTGCATGCCTTGTTACAGAGCTCAATGGTGCTGAGACTGTCCTTCTCCACACATGTAGAAATCCCCCACTTTTTCTGTGAACTTAATCAAGTGGTTCAACTCACCTGCTCAGACAGTCTTCTTAATGACCTTGTGATGTATTCTGCCACTGTGCTACTGGCTACTATTTCCCTTACTGGCATCCTGTACTCTTACTCCAAAATAGTTTCCTCCATTCGTGCAATCTCATCAGCTCAGGGGAAGTACAAAGCCTTTTCCACCTGTGCATCTCACCTTTCAGTTGTCTCCTTATTTTATTGTACAGGTTTTGGTGTCTACCTTAGTTCTGCTGCAACCCACACCTCACAATTAACTGCAAAAGCCTCAGTGATGTACACTGTGGTCACCCCCATGCTGAATCCTTTCATCTACAGTCTGAGGAATAAAGATGTGATGAGTGCTCTGAAAAGGATCTTAGGAGGGAAAATGTAAAAGTTCCCTTGTCCAGGAGCTGAAGAAGTGTCTATGATTACATGGAGCAAAACCTCAGAGCAGAAAATTTGATTATTGATCAGGTGGTGGAAGAAGAACTTGCTCCTCCTGGCTATTTGCTGGATTTTCCTTTACTTTGATTTCAGCTTTTTCATATAAGTCAAGCCATTCACTTTATTAAGCTTTCTATTCTTCCTGATGTCCAACCAGCTTCCCTTTGTTTTCATCTTGATTTTCCATGTGATTTCAAACATTGGGCCAGAAATATTTGGAAATTCCTATATACCTCATGGGTCAGAATAGTTTCCTACATATAATATATCTTATTCAGTAATATGTCTTTTGTTTTGCTGAGACAATATTTATGAGTTTTACTGTACCTAGGGAAAAGACACATTTGGCAACTCTGGATAATTTGTGAAACTTTTGGTAGAGGAAAATCTGAAGCCACAGTTTTTGACTCTTGTATCTGTCATTCTGTGCATATCACTACCATGACTACTCTGTTTGATAATGTAGATTGTAACATAAGAGTTTATTTTACAACTGGTGATTAGGGTTTCTAAAACTTCATCAATTTAATCTTGATTAATGTTTAAGATTTGTACATATTTATTTGTTGTGATGTTCTGATTCATATATACATTGGGTAATGGTCAACTCAGTATAATTAGTATATCCATCACTTTAAACTTTAATCTTTTTTCTCTGAGAGTACACTCAGAATCCTTTCTTTGAGCATTATTTGTTAACTATATTCACCCTTCTATACACTAGAACAGTAGAACTTATTCTTCCTAAGTGAAAATTATTATAATCTTCAGGATCCTACTTCTGTTTCACTTTGTTGTTACAGTGTCCACTTCAGTCACAGGCAAAACAAACTCTAGATAGATCCACTCCTTCTTTTTCCTGGGTGAATATTTTTATCTTATGTATAACATTTTTGAAATAACTAAAAAGTATATTATGGTGAATGTATTAGAAGTTCTTAGGGGTAAGGGATTCAGAAGGGATATGGTAAATATGGCTATGAAAGGCAAATGGTAGGGATATTGGGTTGATGAAACTTTAAAAAATTGTTTATAGAGTTCATACACTGGTTGTTATATTGTCCTATAGTTTTGTGAGTTGTTCTTATTGGATAACTGAGTAAAAGGTGCATGGATCTCTTTGTGTTACTTATTACATATGCATGCTAATGTGTAGTTATCACAAATAAAAGTTTAATTTAAAATTTTGATTGAAAAAAGTTAAAATACATGAAACTGTTTTTTTTAAGTGTTGAAATTCTGATACCTTATCTTTTTCTCCTTGAACTTATATTTTCTCCCTTCTTTTCCCCACATAATTGTCTGCAATTGTAATATATCATCTGTTAAAATCACATTAAAATACTTTGTATAATAAGGACAAATAAAAATGAGTATTTTCATTCTTATAATATATGTCTTTATGCCATTCTAGACAATGCAGGTCCAGTTACTTATTCAGTAGCCTTGCATGAAGCTTTTATGTCATGTCATGGTGAAAATATTGACAATGAAATAAACAGTTAAGACATCTAAGAAAATTTTGGCATGACATTCCATTCTGTGTCTGCTTTGGGGAGGTGAAGGGAGACAGTGTGTAGATAAAAATCAGTTAGAAATGAGGCTTCTGCAATCAGTGAACAGCTTTAACAACTCTCTTCAGCTGGAGAACTATCCACTCACTCTTCATGTCTCAGATCAGATCCTTCTTTGGGAATTCTCTCCTTTTCTTCTGCCAAGAGCACCTCACTGCCTCACTTATATTCCTCTATATCAAGGATATCTTCCTTTTAATATGATGCTCATACAGTACTTTTATTTATTATTCATTTATTAATTTATACACAGGGTCTTGATATGTAGCTCAGGCTGGCCTCACAGTTACTATCTTTCTTCCTTAGCCTCTGAATGCTGGCATTACACTCCTGGCTACCATGCCCAGCTCTTTCATTTACTATGATTGGTACCCACCTATAGGTATTCAACTATAGAATCAGCACATCCTTTTTGCTCTGAATATTTGCAAATTAGTTCATCTTCTGATATCAATTTGATATTTTGAAGTGACATTCTGTCTAACCATTGGAGTTTCTTAAGGCTAGTTACAGACATACAACACATTATTTAGATTGCAGGTCTTTGTATGATCTGCTCTCAAAATATTTTGGTATTTTTCACGTGTTCCCTTATGGAACCATAAGGGAATGGTTATGAGAGAGGGAAAACTGTTAAGGTGATGGTCACAGAAAACATTGCACTGTTTTCTGTGCAATGTAGGAGATGACCTACCTTTATAACTATGGTTATGCAGTTGGTGTCAACAAACTCAGAGAAACCTGTTTTATATAAGCCAGCCAATGCAATATCACCATAAATAAATCAGAATAGATGGTTGTTATGGAATATGGTGTTCCTCTGGAGATCTGGATTTAGTAAGGACATTGAAAGGTCTGATTGACTTAGGGAATTTCTCATTCTCACCAGCACTGAGCAGAAAGTGCAAGAGCAGCTAGGTGAGATTGATGGCAAGAGATGATAGCTTTGGGGTGCAAATGAGCAATAGAGGAGTGGTCCTCAAACTTGTTTGTGTTTCAGAATCCTTGATGGGCTTGTTAAGGCAGAGATTATTGGTTGTATTTTCAGAGCACTCAATTCAGTGGGTCTAATGTGGGGCTGAAAGTATGCTTTTTAATTGTCTGTTCCAGGGACATCATAAGAGAACTAGAGACAACTTTTCCAGACAGTAATGGTAACCACATTATGGCTGGTCTGTGGCAGGCTGTCACCTGCACTATGTGGTCATCATGAACCCCCAGGCTCTGTGGGTAATGGCTCTGGAGTCCTGGTTAATCAGTGGGTCCTAGTTGATCATTGTCATGGTCTCCAGGTCTATGATCTGGATTGTTTAGAGGCTATCCTTTAGCACAAACATGGAAATTCCAGTTTTTCTGTATTCTTTCTGGATGCCTGAAGTCCATCACCCTGATCAACAACAGTGCAATGTTTTCTGGACCATCACCCTAACAGTTTTCCCTCTCTTATTCTCAGATTTTTCTAATTTTTCCTGAGAATTTCATCAGCAGGAGGGTGGTAAAGCTTTCCCCACCTGTCGGTGTCATCTGTTGGTGTTTTCCTTGTTCTATGGCACTGGCCTTGAAATCTAAAATGCCTTCTGTTTAAGCCTTACAATAATGGTGGAAACTCAAAGAATATGGATGTATTCTGATATAGAAAAAAGGGAAAATCCTTTTGTGAGCCATTTTATTTATTTATTTAATTTTTTTCTTTATTCATATATTCATATGTGCATACATTGTTTGGGTCATTTCTACCCCCTGCTTCCTCCCTCTCCCCACTCCCCTTGCTTCCAGGCAGAACATGTTCTGCCCTTTTCTCCAATTTTGTTGAAGAGAAGACATAAGCAATGATAATAAAGACAAAGAGTTTTTGCTAATTGAGATAAGATTAGCTATACAGAGAGATTCCTAGCATTGCTTACATGCACAAGTGTATTACAACCTGAATTGATTCATCTCTACCTGACCTATTCACTACTTCCAGGTCACCTTCCCATATTGACCTCTGTTGCTTTAAGGTTACTGTATTAGCTCCTCTACAGTGGGGACATTAAACCTTTCAAGTTTTGGGTTTCCTATCCCCATTCATGCCATATGTGCTCATCCCTTAGCGTGTGACCCAAGTCCAACAACATTACTGCCTTTGTCCTAAATTTAAAGTCCTCATATGAGGGAGAACATATGATTTTTGGTCTTCTGAGCCTAGATAACCTTGCTCAGGATGATGTTCTTGAGTTACATCCATTTACTTGTGAATGATAAGATTTCATTCTTCTTCATGGCTGAGTAAAATTCAATTGTGTATAAATACCACATTTTCTTAATCCATTTGTCAATAGTGAGGCATCGTGGCTGTTTCCATAACTTGGCTATTGAGAATAGCACTGCAATAAACATGGATGTGCAGGTGCTTCTGGAGTAACCTGAGTCTCATCCCTTTGGGTATATCCCTAGGAGTGGGATTGCTGGAGCATATGACAGATATATAGTTAGATTTTTAAGAAGCCTCCATATTGTTTTCCAGAGTGGTTGCACGAGCTTGCATTCCCATCAGCAGTGTATGAGGGTTCCTTTCCCCGCACATCCTTTGCGAGCCATTCTAAAAATCTTTTTTTTATTATCGTGCTGGGTGGGGATCATTGTGACATTTACAAAAGTTCTTAAAAAAGGAAATGCAAATTAAAACCACACTAAGATTCCACCTCACCCCTGTTAGAATAGCCATCATCAGCAACACCACCAACAACAGGTGTTGGCGAGGATGCGGGGAAAAAGGAACCCTCTTACACTGTTGGTGGGAATGTAGACTAGTACAACCACTCTGGAAAAAAATTTGGAGGCTACTTAAAAAGCTGGACATCGATCTACCATTTGATCCAGCAATACCACTCTTGGGGATATACCCAAAAGACTGTTACTCCAGAGGCACCTCCACATCCATGTTTATTGCGGCACTATTCACAATAGCCAAGTTATGGAAACAGCCAAGATGCCCCAGCACTGACGAATGGATTAAGAAAATGTGGTATCTATACACAATGGAATTTTATGCAGCCATGAAGAAGAACGAAATGTTATCATTCGCTGGTAAATGGATGGAATTGGAGAACATCATTCTGAGTGAGGTTAGCCTGGCCCAAAAGACCAAAAATCGTATGTTCTCCCTCATATGTGGACATTAGATCAAGGGCAAACACAACAAGGGGATTGGACTTTGAGCACATGATAAAAGCGAGAGCACACAAGGGAGGGGTGAGGATAGGTAAGACACCTAAAAACTAGCTAGCATTTGTTGCCCTTAACGCAGAGAAACTAAAGCAGATACCTTAAAAGCAACTGAGGCCAATAGGAAAAGGGGACCAGGTACTAGAGAAAAGGTTAGATCAAAAAG